ATCATCAGCATAGATGAAGCTCTCTGTCCCTTCTGGCAGTGGCTGGTCATATGTGTAGATGTTGAACATGGATGGAGCAGGCATGCTCCCTTGAGGCAGGCCGTTCTTCTGTTTCCGCCATCTACTTCTCTGGCCCTGGAACTCAACAAAAAAGCTCCTGTTTTGTATCAGGTTTTCTATGAGGCAGGTGAGGTGGTCGCCCTTTGTGATATTATACAATTTTCTCAGGAGGAGGCAGTGGTTCACAGTATCATAGGCTGCTGACATGTCTATGAAGACAGCTCCTGTGATCTGCTTCTCTGGCCCTGGAACTCAACAAAAAAGCTCCTGTTTTGTAGCAGGTTTCCTATGAGGCGAGTGAGGTGAGAGGGCTATAATGTTAAGCCTTTTCATTGCAGACATAACACATGGCTACGTTGAACATGTGCCTACTCTAGAATCCTTCCCGTTACCTGAATGCAAGTAGCATGTACTTCCGGTTTCTTCTCCAGTCATTCCTAGCACCAGGGGGTTAAAAATCAAAAGGAAATGATATTGTGGGTATGTTTGAGTGACAAGGTGATCTTTCTCCTTCTAAGCCAACAGGTAAATTATGTCATTTGGCTTCACTTTCTTAGGCACACCATCAAACCTTTTGTCCAGGTGAGTGAGTAGTAATGGCCGATTTCTCTCCGTTCTGTTTCCCTGATTCCCTCGGTAAGGTGTCGCCGAGAGCCAGACTTTTCTACAACGCTATATTAACGAAATGCTTGTTTCCTCCACTCCAGGGTTGTCAAATCTCATCCTATGTATTTTCCTTTCAGATTCCTTTGTTTCTTCCTCTCAGCCTGTCTCTCTCTTTTCGACCTTACAAGGCAAGTCTGTCATTTTTCTTGTAACCCTACGCAAAGAAAAATGTTGAGAAAGAGGCTGTAACTGGGGACAGGAAAGATCACACCTTTTTCCTCATTTACCTCTCAGAATCTCTAATTAATCTCAGAACGGCTTGCTGAGTTACATCCAATACAGGCCTTCCTTTGTGGTCCGATACAGCTAGTTTCTACCTTCTTTGTGACTTTTGCTGGCAAGCGTTTAGAATTAAATTTATTTTTGACGTGTGCATTTTTTGAACCTGCCATATTGGTCAAATGTACATTCAAGTGAACCTAAATTGACACAATGGTTTTGGGTTTTTTTAGAAAGAGAAAGTCATGAAGTGTCTGTAAACACGTTCTTGCCCACACATTGAAAAACAAATAATTTCCCGTTCTGGGGAGGCCGATGTCATAGTGATTTGGTTTTGAAAAGGAGCAAAAATCAAAGTGTGTATTTTCTGCACATCATGAAGCCCAGGAGGTTCAGCATAAGGAAAGGGCTGTGAATATTATGGTGCTCTTTTAGGATCTGTTAACATTTAGTTTAGTGTATTTTCCCAGATATATATCTCTTGTTGGAGCTAAAGCAGTATCTATAACAGGCCTGGACAAACTTCAGCCCTCCAGGTGTTTTGGACTTCCAACTTCCACAATTCCTAACAGCTGATAGGCTGTTAACCGGTTTCCCCGAAATTAAGACATACCCATAAAATAAGCCATAGCAGGATTTCTAAGTATTTGAACAATATAAGCCATACCCTGAAAATAAGACATAGTGATAGGTATGGCTATTAGGCTTGGGCAATCCATGGTTGTAAATGGTTCTAAAGTACTTACAAAACTAAAGTTCTGGTGGTGAAAATTTCAGAACTCTAACAAAACTTTCAAAATTTAATTATTATTTCATTATTGGTGATTTTATTGACAGAACCAATTAGGAACTGCCATTTATTATGAAATTTTGAGAGTTTTGTTAGAGTTCTGAAATTTTCACCACCAGAACTTTAGTTTTGTAAGTACTTTAGAACCATTTACAACCATGGATTGCCCAAGCCTAATGGCTATGTAAGGAACAAGGTTGGCTCCATCATCAGGCTCAGTTACCATATTCCAGAATCATTCTTTCCTGACATCTCACCTGCATTTATGGCAGGCATCCTCAGAGGTTGTGAGGTCTGTTGGAAACTAGGAAAATGGGGTTTATATATCTGTAGACTGTCCAGAATGAGAGAAAGACCTCTTGTCCATTTGAGGTAGGTGTGAATGCTGCAGTTGGCCACCTTGATTAGCATTTAATGGCCTAGCAGTTTTCAAGATCTGGCTTCTTACTGTCTGTGGGAATCCTTTGTTAGGAGGTGATTGGCTGGCCCTGATTGTTCGCTGTCCGGAATTCCAGTGCTGCTTCCCAGCACTGACCAGCAACAGTCTATGGGCCTCTCTCCCCCACACAAACACCAGGAGATAGGGGGAAAGCTTCAGCACACAGTCTATTACTGAGCCCAGAGAGATCATCCCATAAATGCAGATTCAATAAAAATAAGATATCCCCTGAAAATAAACCATTGTGTATCTTCTTGGGGAAAAATAAATATAAGACAGTGTCTTATTTTCGGGGAAACATGGTAGGAATTGTGGGAGTTGGAAGTCCAAAACACCTAGAGCCCATGCCTGATCTATAAGATACCTTCTCTTATCTTGGTGGAATGATCAGGAATAATGGATTGTGGCTTTCCTAAAGCCCAGATTGGCCACCTTTTAGGATATTTTCGTGCAATGTTGAACTATGGAGAGAATATTGGGGGTGATCTAAGGATGCACGGTTCATATGAGTAGTGAGAAGGCCCATTGGAACTGTCCAGTGTCCTGTATAAATATAATATTTGCCCAGTCAGTGCAAAAAAGGTCCCTGTCTAATGTCCCAAGAAATATGTGGTGGGAAAATACATGTGGAAGGCATTATGTGATGGTGCAGTGTTTGTAAATCATTGTAAACACTGGATAAGGCTGGTTGCAACAGTGAGTGAGAGGACCTTGTAGCATCACACTGTATGTCTCTTAATCCATCAATGGATAGCCTGTTGTTGTCAGCGTGGTCTCCATGCTGAGTGAGGCAAAAGGGAACAGGCGGGCTTCCATTATGTTATATAACAACCAAATGTCCCATAGGTTCAGTCGCAGCATATACAGAAAGTTCCAGATTGAGTAGCTTGGCGTATCCTGGTTATATAACAACCGAATGTCCCATAGGTTCAGTCACAGAATGCACAGAAAGTTGCAGATTGACTATCTTGGTGTGTCCTAGTTAAAAGGATATGGAAGAGCTGTTGACAAAACAAGTAGGCAATACTAGACTAGACCAACCAGTAGTGTTGAAAACCATCAAAAGAGATTTATAGATAGGCTGGGACTGTTGAATATGCCGCAGCAGCAGAAAAAAAGACTTTGCTTGGTAAATATGTGGAGTTTGTGGTCTCATTGTTTTGTTTCTGAAGGTAATGATGCTTCTGGAATTGCCATGCATCTCCTGGGTGTGTACATGTGCCTTCAAGTCACGTGTTGACTTATGGCTATGCCTAGTAAACTAATGCTTCCAGAAACGCCAAAAAACAACCTATGGAACTTGCAATTTGTTTGGGATTCCTGCGACACTGTAGGCACAAGAATGGGAGTGTTGTTAGTTCCTCCCAACTAGAGTCAACTAGTGAATCAATTGTAAATGGTGAGTCAAAAATAGGTAAATTCAGGAGTAGCGTCAGGATTAAGGTTTAGGTAGGTATGTTGTGTTTTCATTCCATGTGGCAGATTCCATGGCAGCGTTTAGTTTTGACCAGGTTCCAAGGTGACTCTTTTATGTCACTCGTTTTAATGTTCTTGGGGTGGGGGATAGGCCCTTCGTCTTAGAAGCCGCACTGGAACCCTTCTCTAGAACCCAAAGGTTTACTCATTATACCTTAGATTTGATTGGTCCAGTGTAAAATGGTAGGCCATTTTGTCCTCATACATGATACATCCCATATTAAAGACTCTTCCTCAGTCCCCTTCCTCCTCTTAGTTGGCTTGGGAGGGGGAGAGTAGCAGCAGGATTTCCTCCTTCT